TACCCCCTCTCCCAGTGCAGCCTTTTCACAGGAGCAGAATAATGAGAATAGATGAGACTTAGATCATTCATCTCTTTGCCAAGTCCCATTCAGGGCTTTCAAAGATGTGATTATTTCTAGCAACCATAGTGGGCTTTGCTGCATTTCTTTTTTTTCCCCCGGTACTGGGGATCTAACTCAGGACCTTGAGCTTGTGAGACAGGTGTGGCACCACTGAGCTAAATCCGGGGCCATGTTGCTGCATTTCTTTTTTACCGGGAATCGAACTCAGGACCTTATGCTTGCAAGGCAGGCAGTGGAACCACTGAGCTAAATCCCTGGCCCAAGTTGCTGCATTTCTTTAGCAACTTGAGAAAGACCAGAGATGATTCTCTAACAAAGAGTTTGTCTACAGGTCTACTAGGCCTTGATATTTGATTTTATTATAATTCTGACCTTGCCCTATGTTTCATTGTTGAAGCTTCCCCCCTTCAAACAGAAAATGTCCTCTAGTTTTCTGAATGTTTATTTGTTCTTTAGTGCTAATTTATGTGGTAGGTGATACTGATTCAATAGTTGACTCTGGGTGGAGTAACCACCCTCTGGAAGGGAAGGTGGGCAAGAATATCACTGTCTTTGAACTTGCTACTGCATCCTGGGGATGGGCATGGAGATGATGGGCTTCATTAGGAGAAGCATGAACTGAAAGCAGAACTCTCAGAAGCTAGAACCAAGTAGATGGGGCTGGTGGGTATTTGTGTGAGAGTGGAGGGAGATGAAGACAACTCAAGAATGAATGAGTGTAGAACTCCATGCCCTTCCTCAGGGTGGCCATTCCTTTACCAAAAAGACTTGTTTTTTCTTCCCATTCTCAGTGAGTATATCTACATCTTGGCTAATATTCTCCTGTTCTAAGGATCCTTTATCAGTGGGAAGAAAGGACATAATTAGCTTCAGCGTTCTCTCATATTTAAGCTGGCAATTCATCATGAATTCCACACCTAGTTCATATATTCTGGGTAATCAATACAGCTGTTCATGAGAAGTAACCCTCTATCCCCTTCAAATATTGTTTGGTTAGGATACCATGAATAAAGATTAGCAACGTCCCCCTTTTTTTCCCATTTATGCAGGAATCATTAACTAGCCTCAACTTTGGATTCTTTATCATATGGATCATGTCTACTATGATTACCCCTTTTGTGTCATGTCCTGGCTAAATGTTCTTGCGTGACACACTAAATGTAGGGCAGGGTTAAGTGTCAAGTCATAACCATACAGAAGACTGACAATTAACAAACAATGACCTATCCACCTCATTGTGCTGTTATCTGAGGCTACAAGACAAGACTCACTTGTAAATATTACCTGAAATGCAATATGTGATGATAGTAGACAACATTTCACAACATCTGGTTATTCAGTAATTCACCCTAAGTTTGAATATGTATACTGCTTTTTGGTAATGAGCTTAAAAATAACAATGAAAATGACAATTTTCTTTTAGTGAATGCTTACCATGTAGTAGAATAGGTTCAGGTCTGGCATCCCTTTGCCTATTTAATCCTTAAACCAGCCTGACTATGCATGACACTATTTTGCATATGAGGAACTGAGGCAAAAGGCTGTTAAATATCTTGTCCAAGGTCCTATAATTGAAGGTCAGAGCTAGGATTCGAACCCAGGCAGTCTGGCTCTAGAGTTTATGCCCTTAACATCCATATTATCCTTCTTTATACATTGCTGGGCACAGAGCTAGTTTTAGCATTAAATAATAGCAATGGACACTGTAAATCCTAAACATAAATATTGCTAGTTTTTGTGTATGTCACGTCATAATGTGTCAGAAGCAATGCTACATAATTTTGGGGAAAAATCATTTGATTAGGCCTAGCTCTCCTGCTTACAGGCATTTCTCCTGCTATGGCATTTCAAGACGTAACTCCATTTTGGCCTCTGGTCACAACTGAGACCTCAGTGATCCAGTTATACTGTGATGCTCCAGGACAAGATTACACCAGCTGAAGACATCCTGGGAGGAACAAAATCTTCATCTGCATAGTTCCTCATTGATCTAGGAATTCCGCTGCTTCCCAGTCATCTGCTACATTTGTTTCTCCCTATGTACTGAACTTTCTGTCTGGGGTTATGTGTTACATTTGTTTCTCCCGATGTACTGCACAAAAGCTGCTGCAAGCTCAGGGGCTGTCGCCTTTGCTGCCCAGAGCAGCACTGATCAGGCCCAAAGCTCAGCTTCTTCTCAAAGTCTCATTTTTCTACCTTTCCTGTATAATAAGTTAATTTGCCTTGTGCTGCTCTGGTTCACAGGAGATTAGGACTTACTGCAGAGGTTCTAGTAACATCCCCTTTCCCTGTTCCCTACAGTAATGCTTTTGAGAAATGGGCAAAGGACAAGACTGCCAAAAAAATAAAAATTGATCCTTCTTTTCAGGTCTCATTACCTAAAAGAGTTTTGACTACAAGTGAGTGTAGAAAGTGAATAGTTAATGTAAATTTTGTTACTTGCAGTATTAATATGATTGCATATGGCGCTGCTCTTGGGAGAGACTGAATTAAACAACAAACACAAAAATACCAACCAAAAATTCCTTCTATGTGCCAAGAACAAATTTGATTTCAGATCTATGTGCCCAAATTAAGTTTTATTAGATCTGAACCAAGAACATAAGCTTAGTCCCTATAATGCTCACATCTTTAGTATCCATGCTTTTTAATTTAAGATGAAACATTTTTGTTAAAGTGAGGCAGCCCTTCTTGTTTTTCTAAGCAACACTTTTCTTTCAGCTTATACTGTGAGGTGCTGGCTCCCAATGTCAGCCTCGGAACTGTCAGGTCTTTTCTACCAGGGAATGGTACTGAGGTGTGGGGTTTCTTTAGGCAGCATTATGCATTGTGAAAACATTGGGCCAGTTTATCCATATTACCAGGAATGGAATTCCTGCCAATCTTAATTTGTGAGACATATTAACATGGTAGTCTGAACATTTCCAATAGTTTTCTCATGAGTGATTTCAACTTACATAAATTATAGGGCCAGATAATTAGCTTATGGGCCCAGAAATCATTCTTGCCCCAAGTTTTGAGACAGTTTTCAGTGAACTATAGCTGCTCTGACACTTTCGATTTGCTGACAGTTCTTGTTTCAGGAAAAGAGTTACCTTCCTGAGGTGGCTTTCTGTTACCAGGATCATCTTCATTCTTGTCTGTGAGGGTTGAGATCAAGGGCTCCAACGGAACTCAGCTGTGTGGATGATTCTTGAAATCATAAGCCTCTTAGAGCCTGATGCAATAGCTAACATATTAATTGATGGCGACGACAGGAAATGGTCTTCGTAGCTAATAAGAGTCCTGAGGAATTAACCATGATGCCTGCTACAGCAGATTCTGACATATTGCATTAACAATTTTAGGCAAAAGAAAATTATAGCGTTGAGATGTATATTTTTAGTTTCTTCTCCTGCATTGTTTTCATTCACATGTAAGCAGCATAATAGGCTCAGGCTGGACCATACTTCACACCGAGACATTAGTTTTTTTGTTTCAGGGAGAGTCTCCCTGCAGTGTAACTAAATATTTAAATCTCAGGAAAAATTCAAATCACAATAACATGTCTCAGGTTATCAGGATTATTATGATACTAGGAAGAGTAGACAATGCTGGTCTTTTAGGAAGCTCTCATCATGAATGTGTTTTGGGCTGAATATTTCTTACTAAGAGATGAACGGCTTGAAGTTGAGTCAAACAAGGCTTTTAGTGTTTTTGAAGGATCGGGGAGCCATGAGTCAGTGATTAACTCAGTTATGCCTATATAGAGAATGGGCAAAGGCTGTGAAAGCTCCAACACCAAGACTTACTGTGTAGTTGTTGACCATTATCTGGGCAGTGAAATAGTTTTTTTCAGGGTCGTGGGAGGTAAGGTCTTCCTGTGAGAAATTTCTGATAAGAATATATGTGAAGTGATGTACATGCCTCGGTTTAGAGTATTCTCAGCCTTCTCCATTGAAAAGGAGATTTGACATGAAAGTTTTAGGGGATTTTAATGGAATTTTGGTAAGGGAGTGAAAAGTACGAGGTTCCATGTTGAGTATTCAAGGACAATATTATCTTAAAGGATTATTTTCCATTTCAGGCTAAATAATCTATTTTTGAGCAAAGGGGACAACAAAGCTAACAACTTTGCTTTCTCAGAAATTTCCATCCTCACATGGTCTCCATAGGCAGCAGCATTGTCAAATAAACAAAGTTTAATTAAATAAAAGACATGTAAAGAGAACAGAAATATTTTTCCTTGGCTAATCAAAATCAGACAATTCAAAACACAAAGCCTGCCAGGAAATTGCCAATGGATTATTTTTCTGATCTTAGTGTACTGCTGTTTTTCTTCCTGGTGTCATATCTCAAGTTCAATTCAGTCAATTATCTACAGCAAACAAAATGTGCAGAAATGTCTCTTCTCTTACTGTTGTTTATATTTTACCACTAACTGAAGATTAGTTTCCTTCTCAGCTTTTTCCTTTGGGAGCTTATAAATCCAACAACAGAAGTTGAATATGGTGTAACTTCTATTGTCACTTTGAAAGCATAGTGATTGATTTAGTTATTTAAAAGTTTATTGCAAAGATTTTTTCATTGCTAAAGTTACACTCACTATCAAATATGTTAAAGAAACAATTTGCTGAGGATTTGGAAGGATTGGTCACTAGGTTAAGTATGTTAAAGGTGCAGTGTCAGGGGTTGCTACTGAAAAGTAATTTCCAGAGAGCCTTTAATAACTACAAATTTAGAAGTATGGTGTAACAAAGCTGGCAGAACTAACACTTAAACTGTAGTGGAAGTAAGGCTGATACTGCAGAGGAAAGTAAAACACGGGTGTTGGAAGAACAGTCTCCTCTCTTGTGATTCTGAGGATTCTTTCCCAGCCCTCCCACTCTAGAATATTCTCATGTGGCCTAAGTGTCCATGACCAGTGTAACTGGGCAGTAATCTATCTTCCCAATTACCCTCTGAGCATAGTGATTTCTCTCAGATGTGGAAAGCAGGCGATTTTTTTCCTGTAGCCCTTTTCTTCACTCCTTGTCAGCCCCGTTTACTGTGTTTCTGTGACTGGCTGTGAGGCTGCCCATCCGGAAAGGTAGCTTTAAATCTGTCCTGGAAAATGATCTATTTTGCTCAGCAGATGATCATGTTAGTTGCGAGTTTCTTTCTCTCTACTCATACTTAATAACAAGTGATCCTGCAAAAGCTTAGAACATAGAAAGGAAAAATAAAATAGAAGCCTCTTTATTTGCCCAAGCGACTAATGTGTATTATTTTCACTTAGCATTACTCCTACTAAAAATAAAAAGGAAGATGAAAATTACCTCCGGTTTTGCTGCTGTGGCTGCCCTTGGATTTCTGGGGAGGCTCAGTTCCTTTCACACTGCACTGTTGGGACTGCCAAGCCAGAGGATCGTTCTTGCTCCAGGTTCAGAAATGTTTTTGCCAGATCACCTGTCCTTCTTTCCTCAGATAATGAAGCTGCGATTTTCTCTGGCCTTTCTAGGCAGAGTGATTCTAGATAAGCAGATTATTATGTGGAATATATCATCTATGCCGCTCCAGTGCAGCCTTTTCAGCTTTCCAGAGCCAGTTAGACTTGTTATAAGGAGCGAACTGATTGGCTGGATCAGGGCTCAGTTTCATAGATTATAACCCGGCAGCTGAGAAGCACGAGCCCTATAGTTTCTGTAGTCAGAGGCCTGCCGGTTCCTGCCTTAATGTATATGTAGTTATAACTGAGTTCTAGCACGGCCTTGGATGTTTCTGTTCTAAATAGCTGGCATTGCATCTTCAAAACTGTGTGAGTAACCCTAACTTTTTCTTTTAAAGCTCAGGAAATTAATTACATACCCCAGGAGGGAGTGATTGTAAGAAGAAAATACTGAACTAGCAGATGGTTCGTTTTCAAGGTGTTGTTCTGTATGTATCAAGTTCAATGGGATGAATCTCAAAGGTTTTCGGACCTGGCAGAGTTATTCCAGTGTTTTGCCATGGATCACAGTCCAGCTGCATTTTGAAGAAGGCTGTTCCATGCGTATGCTTGGCCTGTTTGTTTTATGGGGTCTATAAAGTGATAAAGGTCCAAAATGAGCAGGTTGAACAGGATGTAGATGTCAAAACATAGGCGAGAGAGCACTTGAGTCAGGCAAGTTTCAGGTTTTCCCACCCCAGTGTCCAAAGCTGGGAGAGAGTGAGCAGCAAATGATAAGGAATCCTCCCAGGACTCAGGTTCTCAGCAGCCAGCCAGTGCTCAGAAGAAACGTGAAAGGGTAGTGGCCGGACTCTGAGGTCCGAAGCTAATTTGAGACCTTACACTATGGATAACTGAAAAGATGTATATGTATGGAAGTTGTTTTTCAGTGGTTCTGTTTATGTGATAGCTGAATGGGAAACCACAAAGTTGTTTTGAGAAACCTTATAAGAAGTACATTAAATATGACAGATAAGCAATGTAACTGAAGAAAGTGTGTGCACTGGAATTTGTGGTCAGAGCAGATCGAATTACCTCAGGAAGCTGTTGTTAAGTTTATGTAACTGCTGGGAGTAACTTCCATTACTAATAAGGTTTAGAATAAAGCTAGATGAGATTGAAATGAGAAACTAAAAAGTACCAACATTTTATTATCTTCTATATCTTTTACTGGCAGAATTATTACTGAGTATAAATTTGTCAATAAGCAGATCATGCTTTGCTTTTAAATCATTGTTGATTTCTCCTAGCCTGTCATAAAAAAATAATAGGGTTGTTGCTTATGAACTTAGAGCATAGAAATACTTTTTCACCCTCCCAAATAGTTTTTGTATTTTTCCTCAAGACAGTACACAGCCAGGCCACTTCTTATATTTTTGGGTTTTCAGGTTGTGTTTTATCTAATGTTTTCCTTTTTAAGACTTAGAGATTCAAAGGTATAGACTTGTGCTGCATACAAACCTCAAGCACAAATCATTTAAATATTTTTAAAATCATGGGTTCCTGTGGTAAATATAAACTTCTAATAACTGTAGTCAGTGCTTGCCAATTCCTATAAAAATACATTAATAGACTCAAAGCAGTTTATTTGTGGTTGAACCTATTTAAATGACTGACATGATTTAGCCAATAGGAGAGAAATATTAGTTGTATTTTTGCAAAATTTTATTTTTAGATCACACTGGGAACGCAAAGTTTTATTGTTAAAAATATTCTTGCCTTCTGAAATATGACTCAGTTCACACCAGCACATGAAGTTCATACAAAGAGAGAGATGTAATCAGCATAGAGTCCTTCTATGTATCAACCAAATATTTATAAAAGTCTTCAAGAAATCTAAGCGTAATATATTCTTTCAGAAACACATTTGCTTTCTGAAAAAAATGGTATATAGTGAGTTCCTTTATTGAGACAGAGTAATGAGTTCACTTACTAGGTTTCCATAGCTATAGATGCTAATAGTGATGGCGGACTCGTCCTTCATTATCACTCCTAACTGCATTAGTAGAAGAAGGTGACTCTTCTGTGAAAGAAGTATGATCTCCTTCCTCAGGTGATTGTGGCCCCCAGGAATAGGAAGTGGTGGGATAGAACCCCTTCTTTTCCTAAGGAAAGTATAGCTCTCTTAATGGAGCTTTTATATTCCTTCCTACCTTTACCTGCCTTCATTTCTTTACAGTATCTCACTTGGGTTTTCACTGAGATGAATAAAATACAAATGACTAAACCTTAATTATTGAACATTAATCAGCTGCCTATAGAGTTCAGATGGTCAGGAGGTGGGGAGGTTTTGGTGGGTCTATTCTATTAGCGATGTTTGCATCTTGCATCAGTGCTCCCTGGAGGTCCTTTATCTCTTCCATTCTCCTGAAGATGCCAGGATCATATGTCTTTCTTATGCAAGGACAAAATATTAAGAAAAGAAGTTTGGGGGGCCTCAGGAGTCCAGAGGACAGCAGGTTGTGAGATGTGGGAAAACCCAAATATCGCCAAGACAGTGAGAAATGCTCTTTCTTCTCTCTATTCCTCTCTATTTTCCTGCATCACTTTTGTGTGACTGTGAAAGTTCTTTTGTAGATAAGCATCTGTAAAACTATGCATATCTGCCATAGACAGATGGATTTGACAAAAGATGTATCCAAGAAGGAATGTATTACATCATGAAGTGTTGCTAAGTGTTCATGAATGCACACTGGCATTTGGAAACTATTAACACTACCTACAAATACAGTGACAAAATCTAAATTTAAAAAAATATTATTTTTTCAATTACATTTTCCAGTTAAAAATTTTGTTTTTGGAAAAGCTTGCTCTTCCTTTAAGACTTTTTCCTGTGTTAAATATAGGATTGATCTGATTGCTTAATTTTGCCTGAGAATTTATCTCTAGTCAGTGTTTTCTAAAGAGTTGCTCTCCCTCCTTGAGCATGGTTTAAAGAAAGCAAAGTAAAACAAATGAAACTAATGCTCCCCTTGGCCAAGCAAAAACACACCACACAAAAGTTAAGTGCTTTCAATTTGTATTATTCCTTTCTCGTACTGGTGTAGAAGGAGCGCTCATTTAATTGCAAGATAACCACTTATTTCATCTTAATTATATAATGTCAGCAGGTGATATAGTGTGATGTTATATTACTCACCAGCAAAAATTGTGTTCCCCTGATTTCTGATTTCAAGAAGCAGAACATCTTAGTGAACTAGCCTTGGCATCAGTGGGATCATCCTCAGGTCATGGAATATTTCTAAGCCTCAGTGTGTGTCTGTTATGTCAAAGTAATGGTAAAAATTCTGATATTTGACTGGACTAGTAGATAGCAGCATGGCAATAAGTGTTTGTTAGAAGATTTTAATATGTCACTTCTAATGTGCTATTCAGTACACATGATGAATAATTATTATTACAGCACCTCACACTTTAGGGTTAGCATCCTTTACTTCTAAAAGCATATTCTCAGAAATGTCAAATACTTTTAGAGCAAAGGGAGTCTTCGCTGTTTGGTCTTGAAAAGTTATGACAGCTTTGGAGACCCAGTCTTTATCTATTGCTTGAATATTAACACCAGTAGCTTTACTGTGATGAATAAATGTGGTATTATATGCGCAAATGCATTTAGTTAACTTCTAAGTGCCATATAAATGTCATTTATTGCAAATATTATCAGTATTTTAATAAGATGCATTTATAATTTCTTAGTTTTCAAAATGGAAATATCAGATATATTTCAATTTAATTTTCTAAGCTATATGTGCTTCTCTCAGGATGGATTTTCTCCATGGTTAAAATTGCGTCATAATTTTCCTTCCACTTGGATAAAACACTAAGCCAATATAGTTGGATAAGAATTCCTTTATAGCCTACCTTGCAGCTGTTTTGCACTTTTGGCTATCATGAGTTCGATTCTAACGGTAGTATTTGTCGCTCCAAAGCAGTTACTCATTTCTCCCGTGGAACCATTTAAAAAGCAGATGAAGTCATGGAGGAACCACAATAAGTAAAATATATAAAAATGGAATGGATCCTCTCCCACCTTTGTCTCACATAGCTCCCCATCCCCACCCCTGCCTCTCCAGCCATTCATGAGGGAAGCTTTTAGAAATAAAGAATTGCATACTTGCCTCACAAGTGCAAGGTCCCAAGTTTGATCCCCAGTACCAAAAAAAAAAAAA